GTGCCTCTCTTCACGCAGATCAGAGTCAAGTGAATGATTGTTGTCAGTAGAATGATTGTTGTCAATGATTGTTGTCAGTTCTACTGACAACAATCATTCACTTGACTCTGATGATGACTTCCGCACAGGTTGTCAAAACGTCAGTCACTACCACCGACAACAGTCCTTCTCAGGACTACACTCACCCGGACGATCAGACTACACCTTCACACGTTATCATTATTATTGTTATTTATTTTAAAAAATGATATTGCTGCCTTAATTTTTTTTTTTTTTTTTTTACTTTTTTTTCATTTTTAATTTAACCTGGTTCTGGTTGTTCAAAGGCCAGATAGCACTATCTACTGGATCAATCTCTCCTTGGTGGATAGTGCAGCACATTCAGTTAACACTTATCCTCTGGAGAGTGATTTATCCTTTGGATAGTGTTATCTGCCCTTGAACAACTTTTACTTATTTTATTAGCTTCGCCGACAGGCAGGGACACCTTAACAGCTTGCACCAATTACAGCGGGCCTAGTAAACCCACCCATTCCATCCCAGGGGAGGACATCCATCACACAGTAAGCTTGTGCATGGGAAATTAACGTCTCTTCCCCTAACCCTGCAGGAGACGGGACCTACATTTATTCATCCCTAACCGAGAAGATTAGAATACATAACCATTTCTTGATGTTATAGAAAGGTAGCAAATTCTTCTCAATTATTTTTAGTCCCTGAGTGTTGGTCCTGCCAGGGCTCGAACCCTCTACCTCCTGCACAACAGTCCAGCACTCTTAACTTTGCTGTTTTGTAATTTCTTGTAAACACTCAATCAGATGAAGTAGTGTGAAGTTTTTCTCTGTTTTTCTTTTTCTTTTAAATTCAGATTTAAAAATCACAAGCAGTGGTGGCAGCAAGCTACTGGCGCAACATGTAAACATGATGAAAAGACAGGTGAAGTGGTGGGAGACCAAGGTGTTTATAATGAAGGAATTATGGATCCTTCTCCTAAAAAGAGAAGAAGTGGTCATGTAAGTTAAATGGTGTGTATTTAACTGTATAGACTTAACTTATTTATATGACCTAAATCCTTATAAATATTAACACCTCTTAATCACAGACAGTAATAACATTTTGCTAAAAGTGCTGTAATTTATTGTTTTGTGTTAGGGAGAGACTGTTAAAGATTTCAAATCTGTCAGTCAATCAGAATTTTGTAATGATGCTATAGAGACTAAATCACAACTCACTGATGATGATGACGATGATGACGACGACGAAAAAAAGGAGGAGGAGGAGGATGATGATGAAAATTACAATGATGTTGAGGATGATAGAAATGTGCTGAGTAATTCCAGTGGGAATGATGAGGCAATGATTACCAACAGGGATTTGGAAGAAGTAATGCAAGATGTTGTGAGAAATAATCTTGAGTCTTCAAGTGCATGTCGGTAAGATATTAGCAAGACTCTCTTGCTGGGTCTAAACAGTTTTATGATCATACCGCTTTATATTCCTACAAAAGAAATGACTGGATATAACCACTAAAAAAGAAACTTAGATCAGATAATGATATGCAAAATAATGTGAAAACATGCAGTTGATCCAATGCGTGATTTGTTAGCAAGACACCCTGAAAATACTACTGACCAGTTTATACAATACAGTCATGCTCAAAATAATTTTTTTAGAATTTTATGGCATCATACCTTACATAGATATTGAAGTGCAAGGTTAAACATAACCAACGTCACAAGATAATGGTAACTGTCAGTTTTTTTTCTTAATTTACTAACTAATGATAACTTATACATAATCCATATAACCTGACTTACTTTATTTCATGTAGGGCTCGACACTAACTTTTCAACTTACTATAGCTAGCCAAGTGGCTGGTGACATCTTAGATGCTGCGACAATGTCAGTTCATTTACTAGCCAAACTGGCTAGTGTAAACTGAAAACCACCAGCCAAAACTGAATTTCTACCAGTCTGTGGCTAGTGGGCTACTGTTAAGCCCCGTCTACACAAGCAATTTTTATGTGGCAACAGTATGTGGCAATTTTTATTTTCCCGTGTAGATGGCTCTACAAATATTTGTTGTTAATTTGCATCAGTAATAATTTCACACAGCGGAGATGCTCATGGAAAGGAAAAAAGCAAGATGGTGAAAGTCAGAAGACGTGCCTGACGTGTTGCAGCTTTAGACACGTTTGTCACATTTTATGTGGCATCTTGTCTACACGAACAATTTTTTTACGTGGCAATTTTTATTTGCCACTTAAAAACTAACACACCAGCTTTTCAGCAAATCCAGTTGTCACAAAACAATTGGTCACTTTTCATCATCTACACAGGCAAATAAAAATTGCCACTTAAAAATTGCCATATAAATATTGCTCGTGTAGAGGGGGCTTTAGTGTTGAGCCCTGTCATGATATATTTTTTTTTTTTTCGGTACATCCAATTCTTGAAAGCAATCAAAAGGGATCTGATAAAGCTACCACAGTGACTAAAACCCAAAGGAGAAATCATTTGGCTAGCTCTAGAAGACGCGATGATCCTTACAAAGTCTATGAGCACTTACAGCTGAGTTTAGAAGAGGTTTGTCGAGCTTATTTCCTATAATTTTACAGTTACAACACTGCAAAATGGTTGAAAATGGGAGTTTCGTTGTTTTCATGACATTTTTGTAATTGAATTTGTAGCATGAACTTAATAGTTTGTGGAGGTGGGTGGCCTTGCGGTTCAGTTAGTGTGCTCAACTCTGAATCGAGTGGTCTGGGTTCGAGCCATGGACGGGAACATCATGTTGAGGTTTCACCTAGGTGTTTAAAAGGGTACTGGTATCTTTTATACTGGCGTTAACCCTGCAATGGGTGGAGGCACGGTGGCCTCATGGTTAGTGCGCTTGACTCTGGATCGAGTGGTCCGGGTTCGAGCCCCGGCTGGGACATTGTGTTGTGTTCTCAGGCAAGACACTTTGCTCTCACAGTGCCTCTCTTCACCCAGATGTTTAAATGGGTACCGGCAATTTAATGCTGGGGATAACCCTGTGATACTCTTAGTTGCTTCATGCTACAGGAACCGGAATTAAGCACCGGCCTAATGGGCTACTAGGCTCATAAACAGACTTTACCTTAACCCTGCAATGGACCAGCAGCCCTTCTATGGGGGAGTAGAAATACTCCTATCTGCTTCATGCTACAGAGACCAGAGATAGGCGCTGGCCTGATGGGTCACATGGGTAATATACAGACTTTAATATTAATAGTTACTTAGAATTCTAGATTTCTTAACTTCTTGCAGGCATTTTTCCTTTCCTATGGACTTGGTTGTCTTTCTGTATTGGACAAGGATAAAGTAAGAAAGCATGAGAACATATAATCTTTCTCTATTCAATGAAACAGACTTCTTTCCTCTCCTCCAAAAATTGCTAGCCCTGATTTCAAGTTATTCACTTCCAAGCCATAGTAATTATTAATAATTTTTTTTTTAATCCGTTTTAAGTAATCTCCATCAGTTTTACCATCCTTTTTCCTTTTTTTGATTAGGTGTTTGTCTTCCTTTTAATCTCAGATTGTTTTGCAGTTTTGTCCATAGGCTTATTTTCAAAAGTTTGTAATTAACAGTAACAGTATTGTCTCTCCAGGGCTTACATGTAGGGCTGGCTATTCATACCAGGCCAGTAACCCAAACCACCTTTTTGCACAAGCAGTGGGCCATATGTTTTTTCTATTAGAGGTCTGTTTTCAGTGAATAAATGGCCTTCCACTGTTAGTATTTGGTCCTCTTGACACTGTTTACTAAGATAATGTACAGATAAAAGATTCAACTAAATTCAAAATAATTTAGAACACGGTTTTGTTAAAACAGGGCTAAACTTTGTTCAAATAACCTGCCAGCAGACTCCGTATTAAATTTTCTGATGACTGTAAGTCTAGTACTCACCTTTCGTTGTCACATATTTTCTCACTTTTCTATCTAGAAACCCCTGTCCTTGAGTCAAATGTGGTGTGCTTTTTGTGGAGCTAAACAAGAATTCATCCCAAATTATGTATCATATCATTACTTCAGATCCAAGGGATGGGTTCCAAAACTAGGAATCAAATATGGAACAGACCTGGGTAAGATGTCATATGTTATTGTTTGCATGTCTGTCTATGAAATTAGAAAATTTGTAGGGCTACAGCTCAGAGGTTCTCAAAATGCTTCAAACTCTATCAAGTGTGAAGAAAATTGAAAGGGCTTCAGTCTCTAAATCAAAAGCCTTATGGTGGTGAGATCCCAATTTTTAAACCTTCCATGGAAAAAGTAGACTAGTTTGAGTTGTAAGGTAATTTAGGTTTTTATCAACCGAGTAGGTAATGTGAATTGGTCACCGTAAAGAGTTTCAAGCATTAGCCCTTCACTCTGACTAAGGGCTAATGCTTAAAACATCAGCTTTTAAACTCTTTAGGGTGGAAACTTCCATCATCAACTTTGTTGATAAAGCCAAAATTACCTTGTCACTCCCACCGATGCAGAGCCACCGTTTTTTTTAGAAAATGACCCCCTTTATTAGTCTGAGTTATAAGCAAAGTTAAAAGACCTTGCCATGTTAGTCATTTAACTGGAGTATTAAGTGGGCTAAACTGTGCTTGAGCAATGCACTACTAGTTTTTTGTCAGCTAATTCAAATTTGGTTTTATGTCTGTCACGTTTGATACACAGTTCTTTATAAGGAGGGTATGCCGTTTTATCACTCAAGGTAAGTTGCAAGCTAAAAGTGAATATGTGTATTACCTTATTAAGCATTGTAAAACCAAAATTAAAGTCTTACAAGGGCTGACTGAAACGCAGATAAATCGGATATCACAAGAAGCCAATCAGAGCTCAAAGGGTGATTGGGGTTAAATTTGGCATTTAATTGGCTAAGAGAGTGGTTTAAGTTTTCTCAATGCTAGTCCATTCGAGGTTATTCCATCGTCTTCCCCGGTGTCCATTAAAATCCTTCTAGGTGTAAAAAAAAAGGGTATTTTCCCTAAAAACAACATATCGACTCTCTGAAGGTCTTGAACTCTGACTGTGATCCTTTCGGTCACCCTTGTCCCATCACCGTTTTATTTAAAAAAAGTAGTCATTGTTTTTTATCTCTTACGAATACCGTTTTGTTATTATTGTTATTATTATTATTATTATTATTATTATTAGTTATTAATAAATTTATGTATTTTTTAATCGCAAAAACATCTGCTGGTCAAACGAAGTAAGTAAAGCTCAGGTCTCTGAAGTCTAAGATGTTACTTAACTAACTCTTAATTGTCTTGCGACAGACCTGGTTAAGATATCACTTTTCATGAAAGAATTAAGCTTTTAGGAATGATTTTATTTCTATCAGCTACTCTGTTATTGTACAAATGGTTAATCATCAACATGAGGATACTGTAAAAAGTGATAGCACCATCTTGGGTAGAGAGCTCAGTTGGCGTCAGTTGTGTGGTGTAGGACGCGTGAATGAACATGCTGCTAAGGTATTGTATTTTGTTTCTTCAAAGTGATACAGAAGTTAGTTGAGAGAATAAGCACAGCTTTTGCGTGAAACGGCAAACATCATCTTCCCCTTTCACGTTTCACTTAAAATAGCGTGAACCTTGCTGCTTCAGCTTGGCGTGAGCTCACGTCATTGTGGATTTGAAGGCGCCCTTGTATATGACATAAAAGGAATGGTTTTGGTGCCCTTTTTCCAGCAATTAACTTCAACTCTATGGGAGAAAAAGTGAAGAAAAGCTTACGTACACGCAAACCGAGAAACAGGTCACTTTCTCGTAGAAACGGCAAAGCGCAACCGGCAAACGTACAAAAAAAAAAAGAAAAAATGACGGGGAACAACGAGGTCACGTGGCCACTCTTGTTGTTCGCGTTTCACATAAACGCGCATCCTCGGAGACCCAGGGGCTGAGTGGATTTCAAGTTAGGGCATGAAGAGCCCCTGGGGACATTTTCTTACAAGACTAGTTCCAAACGGTCGCAGTCGTTCTGCCATCTGATTGGTGCCAGAAAATCTTTGTGTTTTTCTGCCCAATCAGAGTGAAGTGTGCTTTAGAGTCCTTTCGTGTGTTTTAACACGGACATATACTTGTAGC